CAAAGCCAGGGCCCCGGTAACGTGAGGTAGCCGAGTCGGGGCAGCGTGCGCTGACCCAAGCCGGGGCCGCGCGTCCTCCCGGTGTCATGTGATAACCCGGGGCTGCCCGGGGATGCGGTAGACCGCGCCTAAAGCCGCGGCCCCGGCTTGGGTCAGCGCACGCTGCCCCGACTCGGCTACCTCACGTTACCGGGGCCCTGGCTTTGGGCGCGGTCTACCGAAGTTGGCTTCTGCTCATACTTTGTGGTGCGGTGGTGGTGCGTCGGGCCGCGCGCTCTGACTTCGGCCAAGAAAAATACGTCAGCTGATCATTGTCATTTCTGCCACTTTCATGTGGTGAGATGGGGTCATAACTTTAGAGACGGCTGTTTCATATCAATTATTTTGCATAAAATAATATTTCAAACCATAAATTAATGTTCGACTGCCAAATTAAAGAAACAATACCAATACAGGCTTACAGTTTAAATTCGACATTGTGTTGTCTACGATTAGACAGCTGATAACTCATTCCCGTACGTCGTAACTCTATAATGACCTTTGTTTATTGTCACATGTGCGCCGCATTCGCGATTGTTGCCGACGCCTGTTTGCAGGTCAGCCCACTACAGTTGTTATACATATCGAAAAACCGATAAACTTTTAGGCGAAAAAAGCACTATTTTAGGCCCATTTTTGATTTCTTTTGCGATATTAGGTAAAAACAGAAGCTTCTTCTCCTAGGAAAAATAAAATGGGAAATCATTGGAAGGTGGCACACTACCTTTAACCTTCGCCGGACATATTGGTTTTCTTCTACGCGCCGGCGAAGGGGGGGGGGGCGGGTACGACCCCCCTCCCCGTTTCGGCCTCTGAGGGAGCTAGCGCGTCTCAGGAAAACAAGCGTGTGCGCCGTTACGAGATACAGTTATTGACACCCGATGATAAGGTCTTAGGTCAACCGATGACATCTTACGTCAGGTCAAGTGCCAAAGTTATGGGTTCAGTTTTTGATGAATAACTTGGCTAAAAGAGGCCGCAAAGCCGCGATTTTGACATCATCGTGTTCGCCTTGTTGAGACTTGTCGAATGATATACTTTTTGTTGGGGTTGAACTCAGGTCACGGTCAGGCCAGGGCTTACAGGTCACGAAGTTTGTCGAATGAGGTCATGTCGCATATCTTTTAATTTGGCAGGTCTTCTTAAGTCCATTGGTGGCTCTCCCGACTCGCTAGTTCAATTGGATCGGGAGTTATTGACGAAAAACTAATATGACCCTAGTGACGTCATTAACAATGCAAAAGTGACGCATCAAACTTGCAAAGAGTGCATGAAATCACGATTCGATATGCTTGGGGTTGGGATAGCTTAAGATCTTTCCCGGCGTCAAAATAGTAGTTTTTATTTTCCCCCATTGACTTGAAATGGTGAGGTCACGTAACCGACCTTTCGTCATGTGACCTTAAGGAAAAATCTGAGATGTACAAGTTGTGAGACCTCTACTACGTCCTGTAAGTTTACTCTCCTTGTGAAAGCTCCTCTGGCACTGAGAGCGTTGCGAAGTTGCGACCTCTGAAGATCGTGCAGAGGTTCACTTCTGACGCCATAGGTCAATGACCTGACCTGACCCGAAAATGCGGCTGGTGTCAAAATATAACCTGCCGATTTTCAAAATTCGAATGGCATTCGATTCCCTCAACGTGATCTACATTTTGAAGAAAGGAAGTCCAATAAACGCAAAAAGGTAGAAGGGGGATAGAAACTATACATTTCAGAGGCTTTTTCAACTCCTCACCATGGCCATGTTTTTCAACCAATTTTGACGCAACTACTGCCGATCGATGCAGGATGAATCAGAATTTGACATGTATTACAAAAAAAAGCATTTCGAAAATTAATAGCCGGATTCCTACAGGTTATGAAATTTGGAGGCACATGAAATACATTATCAATCGGATGTTTTGTTGGTGCTGTCACCAAAACGGGCTGGCAAATTAATAATCTCATTATGATACAAAAACGTGTGATAAAATGCCTAAATTAGATTGAATATTCATAGGCGGCATCAGGGCACCGAAGGTGGAAGGTGACATATACCTTCTTTCCTTTTCCCTGGAACCGCCTACGATCCGTTTCTTGTTCACTTCTAAAGCTGTTATACCTACAAATAATGTTGATATACCTGCATAATGAATAATTTCAGTTATAATGCATCAGCATCGTGATCTTTAACTAAATGACTCGCTTCACGAATAGGACCTCCCGATTCCCCATGCCCTGGAACCGCCCCTGATAAAGATATCAACTTAAAATTTTCAAGAAAAGTGCCCAGCTTAGTTTTAAGAAAAATCAGAAAATTTCGGCATCCTAGCTCCAGTCGTTTTGAAGATATTTCCGAAAAGCCTCAGGGATGGATGTAAACAGCCCCCCTCCCCTTGCCACTAATATGGTTAGCGGAACATCCGCTCTTTACCAATCGTGCGGCAATCGGCGATAGGTCTTGAACAGATCTTCAGTCGTCGGCGGCCAGTCGTTACCTATCGCATGACGTACTCACGGCTGTCACCGAGTTTCGCACGTCATTCGTGCGACTCATGCCCCAATTTTTTCTTGGTTCGGCAAACTTCGTACGATGGTCTGCCACCGCTTGTGCGATTAGTCGTACGATGATTGCCGACCCTTTATATATGTGACCGTAATTGCGATGGATCTGCAGCATTCGGTGATGGTCGGCGGTGGTCGGCAATGATTTGGGTCGTAGGCGGTCGTAAGTGGTCGCAACGCCTAGTGGGACCGGGGCTTAAGCCTCTCAAAAGCGTTACAGGCCGGGTCGCTTCGCTCGCTGCGCTCGCTCGCTCGTAATCAACGTGAGCCCACTGACGAATGTTCGCAATCACACAGAGAATTCCTAATACGAGTATAGACTCCGCTACCGCTGCAGCGGTTGCCGAGATGTATGTAGGCCTCTCAAAATCCTTACTTCAGCAGAACAACTTCAACACCCTTGGCTTTTCACGTGGCACGTGCCACGTCGACGGTCACATATATGCTTCAACTTTGGTCGGTTACGGGGTAGAAGTGATGGAGCTACCAAATAAAAAAAGACCGCAGGTCAATCAGCCCAGCGGTTGTTGAGTCAAACAGCCTCTCAAAAGCGCGGGTCGGGTCGGGCCGGGCCGGCCGGGTTACAGGGCGGGTCGGGCCGCCCATACCGAGATTTTTCCGTTATATTGAAAAAACTCGCTTCGCGCTTCGCGTTCGCTCGTAACGAAATGGTGAGTTGTCGGTGAACATGTTCAATGTTTTCCGGTGGCGGTATATGTTCAAGTTTGTTTTACAAGGCAGTTGCGAGGCATCACGGCGTCTACTTAGGCTGCTCACCTGCTACTGACCGCGCTGCAGTTGACGTGTTACACTCTGTTATTACTTATTGTTATCAATTGTCGCACAATGCGATGCTAAATAAATGATGATTCATGATGATGATGATGATAAGGACAACACAAGAAGCAATTTGTATGGTAAAACATCTCCAGCCCTGGCAGTGAAACGACTTCCTTTTTAACACATGAAGCGGGCGGCTGGACTGACGCTTAGAAATTATAATGCGGACTACGCATATAAAACGGTGCAGTGTTCAATGTCATTGTCATTAACATAGGCAAGTCGCAAGGTATGCGCGAAGAGAGCTAGCTAAGCCAATTGATCAATGATCATTCATTACCGTTTTATGCACTGACAATTGACACGTAATAGCCACCCTCTTGTGGCGTGTCTGCTGACGTAAGTACAAATCCTTATTTGTTGTAGCATAGATAACATGAATCTATTTTGTTTTGTTGGGTTAGGCCCTTTCGGTCTGACAAGACCATTGCAGAGCCGGAAGGATGATAGGAATTAGGGGGAGACATTGGTCTGGGCAGGCACCCTAGTGAGTCGCCGGGGCTGAGCCCGTCCAGAGGACAGGCCATCCAGCCCCAAGGCACTCACTGCACCCGGCTACGGGGTGCGCTCCCTCAGGAGCAGCGGTGCCGCTCCAAGGGAGCAGCCCGCATGAGATAAAGTTGCCTGTCCAGCCCGGAGGGGGGTTGCGGCGTGGAGGAGAAGGATTCCAGTGTCCTGAGGATAGAAGCACGGAACGGTCATGAATCTATTATTTGTTGTAGCATAGATTCATGTTATCTATGGACTTGCTAGCAAGTTTTGGAGACATATGGTCGGTTGATAACTCTACACACACAAATCGACCTGAATGAACTTTCGTAGTTCGTATGAAATGAAACACTTGGGGCGTAAAGGCATTTTGTGTGATAGGCAATACCTATTTCTTCCAAGTTTTATTTTCTGTTGAATTATTGGTTATCCCTCAAATGACCATGAGCATTCTGCATTACAAACCTATATCGAGTAACGTTATTCGAATAATAAGGGAGGTCAAGTTAATTCGTAAGTTATAGGCACCAAACACTCTTTCGGTAGGTACCTATATTTAATCAAACAGTAGCGTAGCATTTCGTTCCGAATAGCTGCAGTAATGAAGCGAACTGATACGAAATGCAGCCACGAAATGCTACTTTTTAGTTTGCCATGATAAACGAAAAATACCTAATCCAGAACAGCTAAAAGAAAATATATCTTCTGCAAATAAATTCTTCTCTTCTGCTTCTGCTTCTTTTCTGCTAATTCTTTTCTAATTTCTATTTTTTATAATTAAATTAAATAATTATAATTAAAAAATTATAATTTCTAATGCTAATTCTTCTGCTAATAAATGCATGTCTTGTCTGCGTGCTCAACGAAAGGGTAATTGATTAAAGTGTCCGTATACACATTACGCGCGCTGCCTGATACGGTCCATGATACGGCCTGTGGCGTGTGTGTGCCGCTTTTCCCGCAGGCACCGTATTCAGCTGCAATGAATGCTGCAAGACCCTTACATAAATCTATGACTGCAAAATTTACATGCAAATTACGGCAACACAGTTCCCACACCACTAACACGCCGGTATTCCCGGACTGACCTGTGTCGCGCCGCCCTCCGTCGGTCTCTCCGTCGTTACGCACGCGCTCTGCCCGTCGCCTCGGCGCTCCACCACTCCCCGCTCCCGTGCTCTGCACTGGCGCTCGCCCGGCGCCGCCCTCTCGCCTGCACCCCGCGGCGCCGCCTCCGCCAATCAGATAGCGGGCCCGGAGAGACCGCCGGCCGACCGACCAATCAGCGTGCAGAATGCGGCATGAGCCGCGCCGATAGTGTTATCGGGCGGAGAGATATGGCGAGCCATGAACCAGGGCGGATGGCAGCCTGTCGCAGGTATGGCCCGGCCCGCGGCCCTCAAATGACCCGACCCCCGCAGATTCCACCTGCCTCGGAGTTTTGACTCGGCGGGGATGGCATAATCAGGACCGAGATAGAGGGCTAATTGGGAGATATCCCACTCGCATGGTGGTTTATTTTTACGATAAAAGGTGTCATGGTCTTTTAGGTTTTAAACTCCGTAACGATACTCGATAGGATAGGAGTAGGTACTGACGTATTTTGGTTTGTGCTAAAAAGATTAGTACCTAAATAAAGCTTAATAAAATAAGTGAATGAGGACTTTACTCCACAAGAAATCGTTCGGGTCGGAGCTTTCCAATTGTATTTACAAAACTTCGTTAGCGAGTCGTAAGTCGCAGCGTGAATCCTACATACAGGAGGTCTGAGATTCTAAGCACGGCCACCCCGGTCGACCACAGGCTGCAGCCGATAGGTCACTTTGGATCAGTAAAAGAACCTGTATAATTTTGTTTTTGCAAAGAATAAAGATTGTGCCTATCGATCAACGTATTTTTTACCTTTTCGAATTCGCATGGATGCGTATTTTGAGAATAAAATGTCCGTAGCCTGAGCGCGTTTTCTATATCATGCTAAATAGTAAATACTCATCAAGATAGGGGAGAGTGGGGCAATGGCGGACGGTGGGTAATGCCGGCCACCCATCTCTAGTGAGTACTTTGTCCATCACTAATCAGCTGATGTTGTCTACATTTCAGTTGAGCGCCATTCTAGCACGTGGTGCAAGTTTGTCACGGTAGCTCCATTATTTTCATTTTTATAGCGTTAAATGTGTTTTTCGTATCTGATTTTTAATTTTTGTTGCATCTATTTGCTGACTGTGAAATGTGTTAACGCATTTTCAGAAGAGCTGCTTTGCAATGACCTTCAATTAAGCCTTTCTTAGGCGACTGCTGGATGTGAGGCGTTTGCGGCGCAATGCCTTTGACTGCTGCCTGCTTTCTTAAAATAAAGCTGACCTCGGGGTAATACCGGACACGTGTCCGGAATGACTCCTCGCGGTTTAGTTTGCGACTTCTGTCGTTAAAGCTCAACGTTTCGGGCTGCTGTGTTTACGGCTGTGTTAGTTTGCTTGCTGTGTTTACGGTTGTGTTAGTTTGCTGCTCTGTTGGCGCCGCGCTGTTGTGTTGCAGCGATTGCAGTGTTGTGTTGCAGTGCAGTGTACTGTTAACTGCTGAATACAGTTGTCGTTTCTTAATTCTCACTTAAATTTCCATCGAAAGAACGGTTTAAGGATGAATACCAGTGACGATATTTCGACTTTTGTACTATTGCACTTAGTGGCCGGCATTACCCCTCGCTTTTTTGCACCTCCATTTTTCACCACATTTTCGCGTAGGCTCTGAATCTGTCATCAGTGATCTGAGATACTAAAACTGGGTGCTATCTGAAAGCCTATTCCTTTGGCTATAACCACAGTCAAAATCACCATAAAATAGCTTCAAATAGCTAAGCTATTGAGCAAAATGCTTATGGTGTCGCCATTGCCCCACTCTCCCCTAAAGGTTTTTGGATTAAAAAAAAAAAACACCGAGCTGCAAATTGCATTTATTGGATTTTATGAAAAAATCAGCGAAAGCTGGTTCTTATGCTCGTATTTTGCAACACCTTGTAAATCATGCATGAACATGACGTTACATTTTAGACTGACGCCCATGTCACTAGCTGACAATGGCGCCCCTCTCAAAGGAAAAAGTCGCCCCCTCGAGCACCATGGCCCCCCTTTCGCTGATTTCTGGCTACGCCATTGTTCATTGGTATACTTCTTCTGTATAAAAAACATGTCTGCAAGCTATGCCAATATTGAATGTCATGTGATGATCCTGGAAGTGCAGGCGAGACCTTTTCCAATGAAGGCATAGGCAGGCATTCGCATGAGGCCTGGCCCATCATCTCAAACTCATTTTCTTGATACGGAAAGCAGCTCCTTCAGCCTACTTATTGCGGGACTTATTTCACTGGAGAGAAAAGAATAAGCCATTGCCACGCTGTCATATTCAACAATAAAATGTCTGAAAGAAATCCTTCCTCCTTCGTTAATGTACCTACCTACAGTATCCAAAATAAAAATGCATCCCCCGCCTGGGGATTATTTCCTGTGGTTCAGGTAGATATAGTGTGTTGATTGTGGTAGGTATATAAAATAATTTAGTCGCTGGGTGGCCAATCGGTCCAGTTAAGACAAATGCGGGGTGAAGACGGCGGCGGCGGCGGCGGCGGCGGCGGCGACTCAGGTAGTATATAGGGCCGACTGACCGGCGCCACGGAGCTCGCACCAATAATTGTTTTCTGGTGTTCCCGACCGCTCTGGGTCGGTTATCTACCCATCGACCAGAGCCTCGTCATTAACCACCGAGCTGGCGGGGCGGCGAGCCGGCCAGCGTCGCGACAAATTCACTTATTGCGTGCGCCCGCTCACGGCGGCGGCTGCGGCGGTGAGGTGGTATCAGCTCGGAACAGAGAGGCACTGTGGGCTGCTTCCATTAGCCCTGTCTGATCAGCCGGTGTAGGGCAGCGCTGACGTCCGCTCGGCTACCGGCGGCGAGGGTGACGGTCCGGCGGCGGCCACCTGATGATATCATGGCCGGAGATAATGTGTTATGACGCGTGATATCGTGTGACGATGCGTGATGTGTGATGATGTGATGATGTGTGACGATGCGTGATGTGTGATGATGTGATGTTGTGTGATGTGTGGTGATGTGTCACGACGTGTGGTGACGTGTAATGATGTGTGATGAGACGACAAAGGTCAGCAGAGTGCACTGTGTCAGGGCCGCGCCGCTGTTGTCGATCGGAAGGGCAGCGCCCGTTGTCTGTTGAGCATGTGTCACCCTTATTAGCTCAGCAACTTGTGATTCCGCAGCTGAGCTAATAAATAGACACTTTGCCCAAGTCTGTACGACCTATGAGGGACTGCAAGTGGACAAACTCCCGTGTTACTTACCGGCGAATGACATTCCTTTCGATATCCAGCCATGGCAAGTGGCACTGCATCTTTCACGGATCAGAGAAAATATGGCTGTCTCCACTGGTCAATTACCTGCAAGTTTGATTAAGGAATTCTCAATAGAATTAGCAACTCCATTAGCGTATATATTCAACTGCTCGTTAAAAAGCTCCCAGGTGCCCTCGGTTTGGAAACGGGCTACAATCACACCGGTACCCAAGAAAGACAAGCCGCGCTCGCCAGGAGATTTGCGTCCCATCAGCCTCACACCCACATTTATGAAGGTTTTTGAAAGATTTATGGTACCGCTCATTCTCCACGACATACATAAGTCCAAAGATCGACATCCGTCAGTACGGCAACGTAAAGGGAGCATCGACTGCCCATTACCTGGTCAGACTACTGCACAACCTATTCACGCAGCTGGACAAGTCGGACAAAATATTTTCCATGATTATGTATGATTTCAGAAAAGGTTTTGATCTAATAGATCACACTACAGTCATACAGAAGCTCCTGAACATGGGACTCCGATCTGCCTACGCACATTGGCTCTGCTCCTTCCTTCAGGACCGACACCAACGAGTGAAGATGCCGGATGGCAGCATTAGCACGTGGAGCCCCATAACCTGTGGGGCGCCACAAGGGACCCTAGTGGGACCAGTAGCCTTCCTGGCTATGATAAACGATGCCGCCGTCCAAGACGAAAGGAGGCTTAAATATGTAGATGATTTAACAGTCTTCCAAGCATGCTCTGTGAATCAATTTAATGAAGAATGCACCCTACAGCAAGTAACGGATAAATTGTCGGAATGGGCCAACACGAACAAGATGGTGCTGAATACAGAAAAATGTCAGATTCTTCACTTCTACACAGCCAAAAAGCCTATTATCTTACCGGATATAGACCTTAATGGCAGCAGTATACCAACAACTGACCACGCAAGATTACTTGGGATCACGATATCCGGTGACATGTCCTGGCAGAAACATGTTGATGACATTGTGTCCAAGGGATCCCGAGCCCTCTACATGCTGCATGTAATGAAGAGGTTTCGGCCGCCACAAGAGCAGTTGGTTAAGGTATATACCACATACATAAGGCCACTGCTCGAGTACTGCGCCCCTGTATTCCACGCCGGACTAACTGTTCAACAGGCTCAGAAAATAGAAAAGGTACAAAAACGGGCCGTCAAAATAATCGCCGGATACGATGAAAGCTACCAGAACATCTTACAACGCCTCAACCTGGAAACACTCGCTAATAGAAGACAGACTTTATGTTTAAGACTCGGTAAACAGATGCTCAAGTCGATAGCACATCAAGACTTATTCCCGAAATCGAGAGGCTCGATATCCGGCAGAGAAACGAGAAGTTCTAACACTCTTGAAACGTTTTGCTGTGGTACTCGCCTGAGGAGGTCATGCATTCCACATATGACCTCGCTCATTAACCTGGATATCATGTCGTCCAGATAGAATATGGCCTGTACGCTACTGTTATCGTAATTGCGCCAATGTAGTTGCATTTGTTTATTTGCAGTGCCTCAAAACTGCTGTACTGTTATCACATGCGCTATATGGGCAAATGATCGCAGCCATGAACTAAATACACCGTATCTCTCTCTCTCTCTCTCTCTCTCTCCCCCCTACGTAGGCCGGGAATTATAGCCCAGCCCCCCCCCCCCCCCCGTCTCGTCGCGTCAGTTGGGCTGACGTCGGCCGCTGTCGGAGGGAAAAGGGAAGGGAGACAAGAGGCTGCCGTCGCGTCGGCCGCTACGGCACTTGGCACTTGCTGCATTCTCTCAGCTGCCGTCTGCATGAACGGCCCTATCAG